TCAGATCACAAGAAATTGCATGGATCATTTCCCTGCTTACTGGTGAAAGCAGTCATCTTTCTGACAAGTTAGTCATTTATAATAATGACAATGTGGGAGCTAATGGAAGATACTGTGAACCAGTTGCTGCCCAATTTAAAATAAGTAAAAAATCTGGAGTTATTTTTAGGATTGTATTAAGATGTTAAAGTGTTATCTGAAGTTGTTCTCAGAGTTGATGTTTAGAAACTCTAAAGGAAAAACCTGATGAGCCAGTTTTAACTGGCTATCAAGCTTGTTTAATATTTTAATTCACTGCAGCCTTAGGGATTCTTGTTTTTAAATGTTCATCTAAGTTGATGGGAACTTGCTTTTTTAATTTTTTAGGAAGTTATGATCTTTTTAGGTGGTATGTCTACCTAGCTGAAATGTTGAGTCCCTTTAAGCTGACAGTTTCGGCTATAGGTTTCTCATTTATGCAGAGTGCAGCTATTCAAGGGAGACCAAAGCAGAGACCACAGTAAATAATATCAGGGCCTCAGACTAATGCTCTTTCTAGTTTCAAATTTGAGACTTGTTTCCAAACCAGCATGCAATATGTTAATGTCAGTATGTAACCAAGAATGTTGTTTATTTTTATGAAGCTTGTGGCATGTAACTGCAAATTGATTTGTGGAAATTTACAGTGGCTATATTGCAAGCAACAGTGGTGTTTGCCATTGGCCAAGAGGTTTAAGACCTTAGTTTTGCTTGGCTACTATTTTACGTTCTTGCCAGTAGTGCTGGAGAGAGAAATCAATACCGCGTCCTCAGTGTTCCCCTGGTGTGGAGTTTTCAGTCGCAGAGTGTTGTCTGCATTACTGTATATGGAGTAACCAGTACTGTGCTTACTCACTCCTGTTTTCTCAGCTGATTTGCTCACTGCTGCTACTAAGATATACCTAACTTGGAGTGAAAAAGTAGTCCAAGCTTACCACTTCTGACTCAAAGATCATAAGCTGTAACATTACCTCATCTTCTGCAGTTTCTTCCATTTGTGTTCCTTTTCTATATAGGGTTTTGTGCCAAGCTATTTCATTAGCTGTGCATCTGTTATTTTTCACTGATGCCTTATACAAGTAATAAAGCAAGATAAGGAGACAAAAGTTTAGAGTTGGTTTAAAATAAAGATATCCTAGATACTTTATTCTGAAAAAAACCTCTTACAATTCCCTGTATGTCTGTCTGAAAATTTCCCTTGACTTTTGGAATGTTTTAAAAATAAGTTTAAAATATTTGCTGCTTGTAATATGTTACTAAAGTGTTTCTCTTTTTCTCTTCTCTCAATAGAGAGGGGGGTGTGCTTACCAACAGTATCACTGTGGATACTTTTTGTTTATATTGAAGCAGCCATTAGATTTAAAGATTTAAAAAACTTCCATGTAGACCTTTGTCGTCCATTTGCAGCACACTGGTAAGTGGGTTTTTTTCTCCTTTTCTTATTAAGCTTTATTTCACCAGGGAAATTAATATTTAGGGCTTTTTGTTTTGGTTCATGCCTTGGCCGTTTGGTTCTCCCCTCACGCATCTGTCATTAAATATTCCACAAGAAATACATGCTAAACATTAACCAGGTGCAACCTTTCTGAAGATACAGTGCTTGTGAGCAGTAGAGAACTCTTAGCATGGATGTTCGTAGCATTTCTTGAAGGTTCTTGTCATCAGTATACAAATTTTGTATTTACATAATGAATAGATGGTAAAAGTAGCAAAAAAACCCAGTTTCACTAATAATTAATGTATCCCGTTATGAAAACTTTTTTTTTTCTCTCTGTAACAAAGCACTCCTCTTTTTTCCCCTCAAAACAAGAAGGGTTGTCATGAGTGTCTGATTTCATGATTCACCAGAGGAAGTGAATAAGCTTCAGGTTGAAAACCATGGCAGAAAATAAAAACCAAACACTACTTATTACACCACTACTTTGGAGTGACTTCAGGCAAAAGACGTAACTGCGGAGTATCCATATCTGGAAGAAATGTACTTTTATTCGGCAAGTTTTTAGCGTAGTATGCATTGATCAGGCTACATTTAAAATGTGTCCTGTTTTCCTGGAGTCATTTGGTCCAGTTCCCTGTGATACAGTCTCCAATGAATTAGACATCTGTCATTTTAATTTATATTGTCTACATTGTGCAATAAATCCCTTAAACACTAATTAAATGCTATAATAGGTTACAAAAGCACTTTAGAAGCTGTGAAGAAAGGTCTTTCTGCTGCTGAATTGGATGCAAACATTTTAGCTTGTCATCAGAGTTTTAGAAGGGTAGCTACAGCTGGCTTTACACAGTATTACAAAAGCAGCATTGGCAGACATAATGTTAGATGCATATGCAAATGATTCTTGAGTTCTGGCAGCTTACTTAGAAATGCAATTTACAGAGTGCTATTACTGAGCAAAGAATGAGAAGATTTTAATGGTTAATAGTTACCTGCATCTGAGTTTTCCCCTGATCTAGGACACCTTCAGTGTTTAAAATTGCAACTTCACTGTGCTTTATTAAAATACTTGTCAAAGATATATTTATTTTTATACAGGGATGTCTGCTCATTGATTGAGTATTCTTGTTAATAAATACACTAGCATGATTTGATAGCATTCTGTATTGGTGCAGTTGTCAGGAGCTAATAAGAATACCTAAATTCTGCATGGTGCTGATATGCAAAAAATAATTCCAAAGTTCTGTTATGCTTCTGTCATCCTCGTCAACAAACAGAACAGCAGAGTCTGGCTGGAAGTGAAATTCTTCATATGTTATCTGTCAGTAAGCTAAGTGGAAGAACTAAGTTTAGAGATTAGATATTTTTTGCTTACAGCTTCAAGGTCAGTCTCCTAAACAGGGCATTTCCAAAGGCTGTTTGTTGCCCACAAAATATGTCTTAGTTATGGCCGTCCTCAACAGAGGCAGGTGGTTACTGAGGCTTCGCCTCCACGGTCGCTTCTAGCTGTACCAAGTGTGGGTGATGGCACTTTGGCTCACAGCCTCGGTCCCCCCTGGAATGCAGTAGCCCCAAAGCTGTGTGTTCCAGTGGCTTCTCCAGCTCTTGTTTCTCAGCCTGTGCTGCAGTTAGAAGGTATTGCAGGGCCCGTTGCAGAGGTGGTATTTTGGAGAACCGTTGTTTTGTCTCAGCTTTAGAGTGGTGGAAAAGGGATCTGCTCTAAATTTCTGAGTGGGAAAGGATGGGGCTAAGGATCAGTTTCTCCTTTCACTGATCTGGATGAATGTTGTTAACACATCTCCCAGTTCAAAGTCTTACATGGCCTTTAGGAGCAAAACTTGGGAACTTCTGCTGTATTTGGCTGTTATCACCTTAAAAGATGCATAATTCCTAGGCTGGTGCTTGTCTAAAAGCTGTCTTTGCTATGCATAGTGCAATTGCATTGTTGTAATCCTTTAATCTATGCTACAGTTAATAGCTGTCTGTAATGAACTGTAATTTTATCTTGATAAAGAGGTGCCTACATTTTTGAACTGTAGCTTTATTGTAAAAAAGTTTCATATATAATTTTCTATGAAAAGTTGTAATCCAGATGTATTCACAGCTATATAATTTATTACAATTTATTAATTTGCTATTATGGTTACATTTTTAATAACAACTTTGCTTTTTTTTTTCCTTAGTATTGGCTACCCTGTTGTGACTTTGGGCTTTGGCTTTAAAAGTTACGTCAGCTACAAAATGCGTTTAAGAAAACAAAAAGAAGTGCAGAAAGAGAATGAGTTCTACATGCAGCTTCTCCAGCAAGCTCTGCCTCCAGAACAGCAGATGCTACAAAGGCAAGAGAGGGAGGCAGAGGAAGGCAAGTTACACTTATTACTTGATGTATTTGCTGTTATTTGCTATTGGGGGGGGAAGCCTACTAAGGAGGAGCTTTAGTCCATGTTGTTTTGATGAAATTACAGTGAACTTGGAAACAGAGGAGCCAGAAATAAAATTATTTTGGCAGTGGTTAGTATGACAGTAGAAATGAATTATGTCCTCTCTGTTTACTTCTTTATTAGCAACTGCATCAACCTGGTCAGTCAGTGCTCTGTGAAGCACTAGTATTTATTAGTAAATCCCTTGGTTACTGTTTCCTGCCTGTAATGAAGAAAAAAAAAAGTTTTAAAGTATCATGTGACTTCTGATTTTTCTTTTCTAAATAGACTCTAATAATGATTGTTTTCTGCAGAAATGATTGATGTGTATTTAATGATTTTTCTTTGTATGTCAGAGTATTGATTGATTTAATGAACTAAGTATTTTTTTTTATTTTGGTATTGCAGCAGCCAAAGGATTATCTGATATGGATTCCTCAATACTTTTGCAGCACAATGGAGGCATTCCAGCCAATAAAAAACTATCTGCAACGTTGCCAGAGCTAGAATATAGAGAAAAAGGGAAAGAAAAGGACAAGGATGCTAAGAAACACAACCTTGGAATAAATAACAATATTTTGCAACCTGTAGACTCTAAAATACAAGAAATTGAATATATGGAAAACCATATCAATAGTAAAAGATTAAATAATGATCTTGTAGGAAGTACAGAAAACCTCCTAAAAGAGGACTCATGCACTGCCTCATCCAAAAATTACAAAAATGTCAGTGGAGTTGTGAACTCCTCGCCTCGCAGTCACAGTGCAACTAATGGGAGCATCCCTTCCTCATCTACTAAAAATGAGAAAAAACAGAAGTGTGCTAGCAAGAGCCCAAGCACACATAAGGACTTAATGGAAAATTGTATTCCTAATAACCAGCTAAGCAAACCAGATGCACTGGTAAGGTAAGTTTGATCTGAGCATTGTGTAACAGCCTGTCTTATCCTCCCTCCGTTCCAGTACATCAGTTCTGGTTTTTTTTTTTTCTTAGGAAAATGTAACTTACGATCCCATAAAGAAGACAGAATTGTCTAGTTACAGAATAAGATAACTCAGAACTGTGCCTTTTGGGTTTGGTCTTGGTTTTGTCTCTGGTTTGCTATGCAGCCTTGAGGAAATTGCTTCCTTTCTACCTCAGTATGTGATACTTACCTACCTCACAGGGGTGTTGTGAGGCATAATAAATAGCTTTGACAATCATTGAATAGAAGGCATGAGCGAAATGTGGAGAATCGTTATTACAGACCTCAGTGGATGTGTTCTTGACTAATTTTCCGTGGGGTGAATTTTGCATCTCCAGGGAATTCAGTGGGGTTTGGTGCCTGAACAGGTGGTTTGTCTTGATTTTTTGTTTGTTTGGTTTGGTTTTTCCCCTTGAAATGTTTGGCTTTTGTTTTAATCTTCAATTGACAAGTATAGATGCAAAGTATCAGGTACTATGTAATTTCTGTAAAGTGCTAAGTTCAGATTCCTGCTTGCATACCTGCTGCCTTATTGGTTTAAGCACAGGTCACAGGGATTGAATTTAGCTGCCTTGTAAACTATAAAGATTGAAAAAGTCACATCTTTACATATGCTTATCTGAAGTTTAAATAAAGATGTATTTATGAAATGCAGCTAAGTACTTACAGCATGTAAGTCCTGAGACAAACAGTGTTGTCATATGTTACCAAAACAAGTACTTGTAAGAAAGAGGTAGTGTGTAACTGTTCCAAATGGTGATAGAGATACATCTAGAACAAAACTGTTGCACAATTATGCATTTTCCTACCGTTCCTGGCTTATGTCTCTCTCCTTTTCTCATGGGCTGAACACTCTTTGGCCAATAAATCCTGGTTGGCTAACTTAATTGGCAGATCGGGGTTCACTTTCCCTGCAGGTACCTTTTGGTAATTGGACTTTTGACTCTGGTCTGTCTCTGAGGATTTGTGCTATGTGAATACAATTACTTCAATGAAAATATTATTTTCTTCTCTGGTAATCGCTCTGCCACTGATTGGCATGCCTCTGCCAATTAAATATCCAGACTAATTGATACCTAATGTCTGTAGAGAACTTGTATGAAGCAAATAAGAAACCAGCTAATCAATCTAATCTGTGAATCAAATTCAGCCAAGATTAATGGGATGCAGATGGCTCTGTCTTCAGCAAAGCTGCATCTAAATAAACATGTATATGACTGCTGTATTTGTATGTTGCCAGTGTCAGATGGGCATCTCTATACTCTATATGATTTATTTGCTCACTGAACAAGAGAACAGGTCAGTTCAGCTTTGTTGCATTTCAAAATGTGGTTCATAAGCCCTGAGAAAAGAGAAGGGAAGCACTTTATAGAATGACCTGCAAGACTAATTTTTGTCCCATGTAGCTATGACAAGGAATGAGATTTAAACGTCTTGTGTTTTAGGATTTAAATTACACATTGAAACTTTTATATGCTGTTCTCAGATGTGATCTTAGACCAGGTGGTCATTGTAGCTGTCCAAAGGGGTTTTTCTAATGCAGAAGTGAGTATACAATAAACCAGACTGTGCCCTGACAGAATTCCAGCTCCTCTAATTCACTGAGAAGGGATGGTGTACACAATTAGTGTACTCTGAAAGTGCCTTTGTGCAACGTAGCCTTACTCTGCCCTGAAAGTGAATCAAGCTACTTCACTCTTTTGTTTGTCAAGTGTTTCTATGGGATGCGTGGGTGTGATGTGGCTGTTGTGCTACAAATTCAAGTAGCTGCTTATTGTGCGCTGATTTCCCCATGCAGGCAAGCCAGGAGCACTTAAAACACCAACGTACTGTGTGTCGCTGCTCGCAGTTTCTTACAAATGTAGATGACTGAAATCATTCATGAAATCTTGTTTCAGTTCAGATTGAGTATATAACTCCTACGCCAACAGAAGCATAAACTTACCTGACAAATTGGATGGGATGGAATGCACTTAAATTCAAAAATTCATGTTTATTTCTTTTAACTTGTCAGTTATCCTGTCCCTGGAGTGTAAGGCATTTGTTCATCATCTTTTCCACTTCCAGTAGTATTACTCATTCTTGTTATTACACATTTAGTCTGCATCAGTGCTGTACCCTGAAAAGGGCTGTGTGAAGTCCTGCATTTGTGTCTGACTTTCAGATCAGATCTGCTTAGCTTCCAAATAAAGATGCTTTTTATAACTTCTTGTCCAGCAGACTCACAGCAGGATGTCAAAGCCAAGCTGCTTTCCTTTTGTGTTCACAAATGATTTCCCTGAGCTGACTAACCAGTCTTAAATGTAAAGTATGCCTTATGACTGCTAGAGATTCAGGATTAACAGGGGTTATTTGAGAGAGTAAAGATTGAGGGGTTTTGAGAACAAGACAGTCTTGCATGCCTGTTAACTTTTTCTCTTAAATGCTTGATGTGTCATATCTGAAAGGGTACTGTTAATTAATTAAAGTTTATATTTTATATCTACAATCTCACTCTTACTTGTAACAGTAGGTTTTTATTTTTGTTCTGTCTGGTAAACGGTTAGTGCGTGTATGTTTGGCTTTCTGGAAAGGAAGTTGCCGATCCCCATCTGTAGGTATTTCAGTGAATGTTGTTGTTGACATGAGAGCTAGAGCAGATGGATTCAAGAGACTCTGGCCCTGCTGATCAGCCTTGAAAGTCATCTCTTAGTGGGTTTTTTGTTCCTACAATTGAAACGAATATCTACTTCTGATGGATGCTTAAATCTGCTGTTTGTTTGTCGGGCATTTAATAATTGAATGTCTGATTTGAGCTGCTTATTTCCCTGAACTATGGCAATTGGGCCAATGGAGGGATATGTTTGGTATCCAGCGGACGGATAAACTTGGGATTCCTTTACACTTAATATTGTTTGTTGGTGGGTACAGCGCAAATTCACTTCTTGTTACTGTTTCACTGTCGCTTCTGAGATGCAGCAGGTTTTTTTCACGTTTTAGGGCCTTGATGTATGGAATGAGTCCAAACTGTAATTGTTGCAGAATTATTATTTTTTGTTGTCTTGCGTAGTAATAATCATGTCCTGCCTCTAGCTATTTGCACCCTTAAAAAAAAAAGAAAACCAACCAAAAAACACACACAAAAAGCTGGCAGTGCAGCTTGGCAAAACTGTTTGTATCCGTAGAGGTCTTGCCTTTGGCACATGAGGTGTTGAAACAAGCTGTCTTATGTACTAATTATTCTCAGAGATAACGATGACATTTTCTGGCAATTGGACTAAGAAAAATATTTGTGAAGCAAGAGCTGGTCTATCACGTCTTATTTTGCTCTCCTAAAATTTGATGTTACCTGCAGAGGCAGACTTGAAGGTTTTAATGTAAATTTGTGTCCATTTGATGCTAATTATTGTACATCTTCTGTGGCACCGTTGATGTCCTAAGAGTGATTGCTGCTGTTTCCTGATCCCCCCTGCCTGAAACAGCATTAGTATACCAGAAGGCTTTCTGCTCTCAGCCGCAGTGCGGGAGGTGGTCAGTGTTTCATGAAATATGATGGGAGTGAAGGAAAGCTTAGAATAGAAAAGCAAAAGAATTGGGAAAGTAGATTAGAAATCTGGGAGATGATCCTTCTAGCAGACGGTTTTCAAGCCACTGTCAACATAGTGCTTGGAGTGTTCAGAAACAGAATAACCTTTTGAAATGCCAGCTACTTAGATCAATTCTGTGTAGGAGAAAAATAAGTAACTCTCCTTTCTCTCTGTGGATTACTGACTTTTTGGTAATGAAAAATGCTCCGAGGAACTGCTAGTAACAGCACATTAGTTACAGCAGGAGAACCTCGATGCTGCGGGATCGTGCTGGCTACTTCAAAGAAGTAGGTTCACCGCAGGGGATGCTTATGCCAACAGACTGGGCCGGAACAGAACAAAGGAAAAAATGGGTTTCTTAGAAGGCACTTAGGTGCTTTTCTGAGTCTTTTAAAACTTAATTTTTTAATATAAATTGTGTTTAGTTTATGTGCGACTTCCAGGTGATTATGGCATTGCGTTAACTGAGCAAACTAAGCAACAAGCATGTGTTATCCACCACTTATCAATACTTAGGAGGATTAAACTGAATTGAGTTGTCTTTAAGTTGATCCATCAATCTTCCCTTGAAGCATTTGGAAAAATACTCAGTCTTGGAGGTGATTACTGATTAATTCTCTTCATCAGTGAGATCAGGAATGATATGAGGTAGTGCTGAGAAAAGAAAATGGGTAAGTCTGCATTTATAGTAATGCCAAGCTGAAAGAAATTTACTATAGTTGTATAAACAGCACAATGTAATAATCTGCAACTAAACCCTCATTTTAAAAATAGTTGTGTGCCAAAATGACTTGTAGTTTGTGCGGCGATAGAGAAAAGTATCTTCTAGAACTCAAGTTTTATTCACACACACACCACCCCCCCTTGTAAATAATTTTTCCAGTAAGCCTGGAAGTAAGAGACTTAAGCAGAAAATTAAATGGTAGAAAGAATAATAATATAAAAAAAAGTGCTGTCTTATTAGGTCGTTTATCATTGTAACAGTAGCGCAGACTGTTATGGAGGGGAGGAGGGAGAACTCCACACGCTAGGCTGTGCTCCTAGCAGCGAAGCTTTCTTTTGTGACATTGTATTGGTTTACCTTGATGATGTGCTTTCATTTTAGAAAGGGGCAGCAGAAAGGGTGTTTTTAATCTCCTTGTATTTCTGTGAAAATGATGGATAACCCCTCTGTCTATATACAGAGAAGAGCTTTGATTTGCTGTTCCACAGGAGGAAATTTTTAGGCTGCAAATATTTGACTGGACTTCATAAGATGGATAAGAACATGGTTACACACCAGAGAATGCAAGGAGTGCATGTGGTTTTGAGGGGAAACTAACCTCATCTCTCTCTTTTTTTTTTTTTTTTTTAAATGAAGTTGTATCTCTAGCTAATTGTGGCAAGTCTGGGAGAGAAGCCATACAGGAAACATTTGGTCCTTGCATTATAATGGATTATTAGCTGCTTAATTTTAGAGAGTAAGGAGCATTTATTTGATCTATAAATTGCAGAAAATGTCCGCTCTGGTATTTAAAGGTATAGCAAAAACTACAGCATAATTAAAAGGAGTAATTTAAATCTGGTAAAATCTTACTTTAAAACTTATTTCTAAATGGGTTCATTGACAGATAAATTTCCAGTGGTTTTTTCTGCCATTGACTTGAAAGAGATTAGTTTTCTCTGCATTAATTATCTTCTGCGCCTTTGGAATTGCACTACAATATTTGATCACTCACTGTGTGTAGATTGATCGTGTTTTACATATGTTATTCTGTCTTTTGACTGTTTAAGTTAGGTCATCTGTACTGATAGGAGTGATTGTTTCACAGCAGAATAAAAACTCTTAACTGCGTGGTGGCCTGAAAAATTCAGATGTACAGACGTACTGGAATCCTTTCATTAGAGTAAGTTGAACTGGTGAAGTTGTCACTCTTTCACGCCTGAGCCTACTGTGAGCTCGTTTGAGGTGGCTAGTAAATTGGAGAGTCTTTGTATTTTAGTGGATGCACAAGATATATAGCTCCCACTTTACACCTGCTAGCAGTTTCTAAGAAAAAGAAAGTCCTCTCTGCAGCATTTAGTGAATGAAGGGTCGCAGGCGAACAGTGCCAGCTGCTCATAGGTAGTAATATTCTATCGGTACGTGGTCTGCCTGCGTGTGTTTTAGCAGTGTGGCTACTGGGGGTTTTTTTATAAACAATGGAAGCACCCAGAGTTTGATCAATTCTTGTTGAGTTTAATCCTGGCTTCTTTGTGATTTACAGTGAAAGTCATAATGAACGGCCGGTTGGTCTCATTTTCCTTTAAAAATTACCTGAAGTCCTCTGTGGTCCTTCAGAGTAAAAGGATGAATATTTGATGCTTGGAGCATGCTTGAAAAGTTAAGGTGGAAAGGACATTGATGAGGCTTTGGCTCTGTGTTCAGGCAGGATTTGAGTGATGTACCATGAGTGTGTAACACTTCCTGATCCGATTCTCACCAATTTAATGTATGCAGTTGTGGTTGGACACTTTTACCTATGCTGAGTGAAAAGGAAGGCTGTGAGTTGGAGGCTCATGTATTTCCTCCTGGTTTGGAAAGCAGGCATCCTTTCTGGTCACGTTTGTGTGCACTCTACAGATCATGCTAGCTTCAGCTCTCTTTTCAGCGCAGTCTGGACCAGCTCCATGAGTGCTGCAGGTACGGAGCCCTCATCAAAACCAACAGGAACGCCATGAGCCAGATGGCTTAAGAAGTGTGAACTAATGTCAATACTCTGATGCCAAAAATACAAATTCAGCTTGTCCTGTGCCAGCACCTCTGATTTATTCAGGCTTTACCTGATCAGTGCTTCTTTTCCTGGAATACTAAATACCCAAACATAAATCCTGATAAATCTCATTTGAGCAAGTTTGACATAGTCTAAGTTATAGGGAAAAGGCTATTTACAGCTGTCTGATTTTTACAGTTATCACTTTATTGTAGAGATGTATGTTGAAATTATTTATGGATACTTGGCAATGTAAAGCATGTGTGATTTATATGTGTTCCTTTACATTGTCCTACCAACCTTTTTTTTTACCTATTTATGAAAACCTATATTAAAACCAATCAGCTGTTGGCAGACAACAGTCTGTTAATGCTTCCTACAGCATCTTACTCTCTTCAGTTAATAAGTTTGCTCTAAAACACTTAGTTACTGCTTATTGGAAGATTAAATTGAACTGTTATATCATAGCCCAAGGACTGTCCAGCTCTTCACTTAACATACTGAACACGGTGAAAAGACATACCTAATAACGTCTGCTGATGGGTTTTCCATTTTTCATTTATGTGCTATGGTTACATGGTTGAATGAATATTTGGTTAGGTTTGCAAATTTTTTTCCTCCTACAACAGAGTATAAGGTGTTGAAATGATTGAAGACCACAAATAGGAAACGTGTATTTGCTTTGTGCTATTACTATTTGCCTACTAAGTATAAGTATTTTTTTTTTCTTTTTAAAGGTACATTTGACCACAATATATACTATATTAAAAGGAATTCATCTTGCCAGGAGGAGGACAATTGAAGTATAACTAGAAAGACAGCTTAGTACAGCTGTAGGAAGTAGGATCTGCACATTTGAGTTGTATGAGTGTATTATAGACCATGCTTCTTTATAGGCTGTTTCTTGCTGTTAATTTACCTGGTAGACCTCTTCGGTGCAGTTTTAGCCTATTACAGACATACTTTTCTGAATTTCCATAAGTTTGATGATTTCACATTTAACTTCTTGAGTCATTCACGCAGGATGCTCATATGCCTTGTATTGTTACATCTCTCACTAGCATTTTAGATGGAAATTTTCCTCCACTGAAGCCCAAAAGAGCAAAGCGTTTTCATTATGAGGACGAAAAGCTCTAACTGTTCGTCTGTGCTAGTGCATGTCAGTGAGGGCAGTTCATTTTGGCTTCTGTGACTATTTTCCCAAAGTCTTAATGTTCAACTACCACTGATTCTGTATGGAACTTTAGAAAATAAAAACATCTTTGTATTGTTATCAGCATTTAAAAACTTTTAAATCAATAACTGATGGAGCGAATGAGGATTATATGTGAATGAGGCATGTTTGCTTTAAATAAGTATGTAGCAGCGCTCAAAAATGGTTATTATTTACCTGTCATGTTTTTTTTCTAAGAATCAATAATCTTAATTTGAAGATGTGGGGGAAAAATTAAGGGTGAGCTGAGGGCCTCTCTTAGAAATGTGTGGTTTATTTAACCAGTTTTGGTTGAGAATATTTTAATTGAGGAGCTTGGATGAGTCTTCAAGAACTTTCTAAAGCTGCAATTAAGTATATAGCAGATGGTCTCTGTTCAGGAGCAATTAAAACTAAATTTACTGACTCCTGAACTGTGGATGACTTAGCACGTACTCTTTATTCAACATGCGCATCGTGTACTTCAAGGAAGAAAAAAAAAAAAAAACATTTAGGTGAGAATTCAGCAGTATGCTCCATAGCTCAGCTAAAACTAACAAATGAAACTCCTAATTTGTTGAGAAAAGTAAAATTTGTTCATAAGTGCACCTCTCCTTGTTTACAACTTCTCAGATGTATCTATTTCACTTCTGCTTGAAGAGGAAAAATATAATTCCATAGAATTTGTTTTACAACTCTGCAGTGCATGGAGGAAAACAAAATTCCTGTGGGAGGTTGTGATGTGTGTGTATACTATATATAGAGCTATACCTAGAGCTATAGATGTATAGTTACATAAAACATTATTGTTATTTAGCAAGGATAGACATCATTTCCGAGAGTTTATTATTTTAAGAATCAAGGGTTGGGGGGGTTGGCAGCTGGTATGATGTTTACTTATTTTTATAAAATGTGCTTGAATCTTTGGGTAACTGGGAAATAAAATTGAAATTGTATTTGTAAATTCTCTTTCTTAGGTTGGAACAAGATATTAAAAAGTTAAAGGCTGACCTGCAAGCAAGCAGGCAGATCGAACAGGAGCTACGTAGTCAGATCAGTTCTCTGACTAACACAGAGCGGGGAATTCGATCTGAAATGGGACAGCTCCGGCAAGAAAATGAACTGCTTCAGAACAAGTATGTGTTTCTACACAGCCATGTAAATTACTTGCTGTAAAGGGGAAGTATTATGTTAAGATTCCACAAAATTTGAGGCACTTGTCTGCAAATCCAGCAAGACTTATTTGGGACCATTGGCGGCAATTTATTTTTAGTAAATAAAATCCACCCTTAAATCCCATACCTGTTATCTTCCAGATTACACAATGCTGTACAAATGAAACAAAAAGACAAACAGATGATCAGCCAGTTGGAGAAGAAACTAAAGGCAGAGCAGGAGGCACGAGCCTTTGTAGAAAAACAATTAATGGAAGAAAAGAAAAGAAAGAAGTTGGAAGAAGCAACTGCTGCACGTGCTGTCGCATTTGCTGCTGCTACAAGGTACTTTGTTCTACCCTAGAAACATGCTCAGCTCCAGAAAATTACTGAAACGTAGCTGTTGCTCACGAAATGTCCTTAGGGGGGATTTGGGGAAGCATTTTTCACTCTTCGGTATGTAAAGGAGTAGTCTGTATTTTATTAAAAAAAAAAAAAAGCTTTATTTGTGTTAAGAGGTTCATTTGTGTTAAGGCAGTGGGAGGACTGAGAGGTCTCCTTCCATGAAGCTGAGTCTCAGTACTCACATACATTACATTTACAGGCTGTAAAGGATGAATATGCTCTTAATTATCTGTTGTACCTCATTGTGCTAACAGAGGGGTGTTGTACCCTGCGTGGCTCAGTCTGCTTTTAAAAAAGGAATATGCCCTTTCATGTGGGGACTGAGACTCAAGGATTCGTGCAATGACATTGGGCAAAATACTGTCTCGATCTCACATCTTGAAAGTATTCTGCTCTAGCTGATGACTACCAGTGCTCAGCACAGCGGTGTTTCAATAGTAACATAGGTGTATAGATGGGAAGTTTTTCAAGATGAAAGCATGGCACAAATGTGGATGACTTTAATCTGCAGTCTCCAAATGTCTAAAAAGAATTATTTCTGCTTTTCTGTTCTCCGTATTTCATAAATATTCCAAATTTCCTAATACTTGAGGCATAACATTGAGTAACTTTTTGCATTGTTGCCATAAAGGAAACTCTCTTGCTGAAAAGAACAAAGTTAGCTTCCTCTTTTTATCCTTCATATTTATATTAATTTCCATGTTATAAACAGTTCAGGAATGACAGCCTCATTCTTATTTCATCTTCTCTTTTAATGTTTTTTCTGCAGAGGAGAATGTACCGAAACTTTACGAAATCGTATCCGAGAGCTGGAGACAGAGTGCAAGAAGCTAACAATTGACATAAAGCTGAAAGAAGATCAGATACGAGAACTAGAAATAAAAGTTCAGGTAATAAGAAAGCACCAGCGGCTTAGATCAGCATCACAATGGGTGCTCTCAGCTCTCTGAAATTGGTGGACCTACATAAGAGGCAGTCAACACCTTCAAGAATTATGCTCTTCAGATGTCTGTCTTGCATGTCTTGCATCAGGCTTTTCAAGAACGTGGGCATGAGAAAGGTTAATAGTCTCAGCTCCACACCACTGAATTGTTTAAATTATTAGAATTTTTTTCCTCGAACCAATGGTCGGGTAGACTGAGAATATAATCCCCTCAACAACAGTTTTTGGCTAATGCGAGGAGCTTGTTGCCAGCCTGTATCGTTATAAATTTCACTGCTAGCAAATAAGATTGCTTACTCAATGCAGTCTTTATCGCTGGGCAGACTTTTTTTTTTTTTTTTTTTTAGTGAAAGTGCTTGAATATTTAAAGTACATTGTGGTAGCAGACACGTTGTCTGGCATGTTAGAGTTTGAGCTCAAATGTGTGAGTTAAAGTCGACCTTATTCATTTAAAATGTCTGTTCCTAAAGATGTACTTGGACTGTCAACGGACAATTTGCATGAAAAGTATTTTTAATGTCTAAATGTGGTTTTTAGACACTCTTCAAAATCCACCTGGTGTTATTGTGAACTTGTTTCCAAATAACATATGCAGCCTTGTTGTTCCTGGTTTTACCAAACCCTTGAAAACAAGTGTGGTTTATTCATGAAGAACATGAGCATGGCTTTCAAATAATTCAAACCAGCTATAATCAAACTTTTTAGTTTTATTACCACCTTCAAACTGTAGAGAAGCTTTTTGTTACATTCATTAATATTTCCCCCATTGTATTATTATTTCTTCATTTAAAAGTATAGAACTTTACATTAAAAAAAAAAGTATTTCCTTTTTTTCTTAGTCAAAATGTTAATGCATACTTCCCAGCCGCAAGGTGCCTGTCTCTTAAGCGCAGAATACTTGCTCCCTCCTTTCCTCTTTTCTAAATTTCTGGGTTTGCAGCACAGTTAGGTTCAGTGTGGGAAGTATTCTGAGATAAAGAAATCCCTCTCATCGGTCAACTTAAAATAGCTTAAAATCCTTTTTTTTTAGTATCACTTTAAACTGTCTAGCAAGAGATCAGTCCCCATTATAGCTGGTTTGCTTGTGGGAAGTGTTTTCTTATTCCACAGCTTGGCTAAGAGGACCGTGCGGCTGCTTAGCTGGCACTTGGGAGCGATGAGGAGGATTTCTGGGTGGAGGGTCTCGATACGGATGATATAGGGCTGAGAAGCATAGTAAATGGTACTTGCTCACCGCACCATCATTATGCTTTGTACAATATGACTTTAATCACTTGTATGATGGTCGTGTGTAATTACTGGAGGTAATATTACAGTGTCCTTAATTAACCATCATTTTAATTTTACAGTGTTAATACCAAGCCCAGTGGTGTGCTGTGGAGAAGAGAAAGACTTCTCAGCGTATCTCATGTGTAAAGTCAATGAGAATAACATTTGTCCTAATTACTCCTACAGGAACTGCGGAAGTACAAGGAAAATGAGAAGGATACGGAGGTGTTAATGTCAGCACTTTCAGCCATGCAGGATAAAACACAGCACTTAGAGAACAGCCTGAGCGCAGAGACAAGAATCAAGCTGGATCTGTTCTCTGCATTAGGAGATGCAAAACGGCAGCTTGAGATTGCCCAAGGTAACATGGGATGGTTTAATTCAACACATAGTACTGACTGAAACAGGATATTCTTTCTGTCATATTTTCACTACCTTTTTGTTTAGGGGCAGGCTACAGTCCCCACGCAGTATTTCAGCTTTCAGTGGGTTTTTGTCTCTTACAGCTTTGTGAATGTGAGCCTAAGCAATCCAGCTGATCAGCTGACCTAATTTTCCCCAAGCTATTAAACTGAAGACAATAAACATCAAGATGGGTGTTTAAGTTAATTTATAATGATTTTCTGCATTTTTAGAAACCATTGCCTTAAAGCTGGAGAACTCCTTTTAAAGTGCTAGAAGATAAAATAATAGTTGCCATCTATTAAGCCCCTGCCCTTTGAATCCTAATAATATTTTGATACTGCTGAAGTAAATACAACATAAACGTGGGGGGAAAAAAATAATCCAACCTGTTCTAAACTTCACACCGGTGAGGTAAGCGTAGACACTCGTGTCCGTGTTGGGCTGGAGTTGCAGCCACCAGAGGGAGCTTGAGGCTGATATAAACCCCTGCCCAGGCTGTGCAAACCGTGAAGCAGAATTAAATAACCTTTTGATTTAGTCCCTGTCTAATTTCCTTGCAGAAGTTTGCTTGGTTGCAAGAAAACTTGGTTAGAGTGAGATTGTTTTGGTTTGTTTCATTAGTGTTTATGTAGTTGTGAGTATGCAAAAAGGGGATTTAGAAAAATGGTGAGAATGTGACAGTTTTGAAAATAAAGTAGATAACACATTTAATAAGCAAACACTTGTGCTTCTGTTAGGTGCTTGTAAAATGTGAACAGAAAAGTCCAGGAAAAAGCTGAGCCATAGAAATAATCTTGCTGCTGTGAATACAAACAATGCCAAATCTAATGGAATGCTCTGTCTGGTTGTGTTACGTGGTAACGAGAGGGAATTAAACATCATTCCTCGACACAGATCAGGAGTTATGTGAGCTGTGCTTCTAGTGATGTAATGTTCGAGCGCTGAATGTCTTCTGGGCGTTTTGCTTCAACGGCTCTTATCTTTGGACAATTAGTGGAGGGTGAAAACATGCTGCTGGTTCTAAGTGATGTTATTTGCTGTTTTCAGGGCAAATCATTCAGAAAGATCAGGAAATCAAGGACCTAAAACAGAAGATTGCAGAAGTTATGGCAGTAATGCCCAGCATAACGTACACTGCAGCCACCAGCACTCTGAGTCCTGTTTCCCCACATTATTCTTCCAAATTTGTGGAGACCAGCCCTTCTGGACTTGATCCCAATGCCTCTGTTTATCAGCCCTTGAAGAAATGAATGCCAATTTTCTTTTTGCCCAGTAATTTTGTCATGCTGAAGGCATCACACAGGAGTGTCTCTTGCAGTCAAGATGAAATTGTATTGTGTGAGACTGTATTCGTTGTCATTTAAAACAGGATAAAAGAACATCTGGATTGACTAGAACTGCCCATCGGTTTTTCTTGTAAATTTTTAGAAAACCTCACAGAACTTTGCAATTTATTTTCCTTGGCCAATGCATTACAAACAATTCTTGGTTTTCAAGTAGCCAATTTTGCCTTTTTATGTACTCTTGCATGGTTTCCTCTTGAAAAATACAGGGCTTTGCTTGATTTTGAACCCTTTCTTCTTTTTTTTTTTTTTTAAATAATCAAGTTGAATTTTCAGATTCATTCAGAAATAGTGAGGAAGAACCTTTAGTTTTTACAGTGAAAGGGTTAAATAATCTAACAAAGCTTTGATTTATAGATGTGTTCAATACAAATATGTGATGTTGCAGAAGATAATTTGATTACCCCTCAAAGGACCAAACAAATTTCAGGGGCGTTGTTTAAAGGAAAGAATAAGAGAATAGATGATGTGACGGTGGTTGTTGTGTGAAATATTTATATTCCCATTGGTGTTTTTAGTCATTGAGAATTGCTAACAGTCTTGTTCACAGTGCCTTGGGAAAAGACATTTCAAGAGGAAACTTGATAGTTTAAACTATTTTTTCCCCCTTCACTGTCATCTAGCTTATATATCAAGCTCATTACAGAGTCTACTGCAAATTGTACATGGTAATTTGGATGTTCATTATAAACCAAGGTTACATCTTCTGTTTATTTTGATATAAACTCAGCAGTGTTCTGTAACTTGCCTTGATTATACTGCATCGTGGAAGGCACAATATTAATACAGGAAGCGTTATTGTGAAGGCGGAACTGTGCAATGTACTGTATACAAGAGACTGTAAAGCTGGCTAATAAAAGCTGCAGTTCTGGGTTTTTTTATTTTATTCAACTGTGATTTACACTTTATATCACCTTGTGTTTGACAATTTAAACGGAGCTGAATATTTTTCAGCTGTTGTGCCAAGGAGTTTTTAAGGAGTTTTAAAGGAAACTCATAAATTGCACAAAGGTTTAAGTTAAAAATGTATATTATACATTGAAAGTGTTTGCACTGGCAACTTCTGAAGTGTTTCAGATTTTCCGAGGGTGGGGATTGGAGGGGTGGGAAGCAAAATTGTAGTGGAAGCTAGCAGAATTACAAACCCGACATTAAGATTTTGCAAACATGCAGTGGACTCTGGAAGGACAAAGTTCTTCTTAAAAGAAAAGAATTATTTTTTTTAAAAAAAAGTTTCATGTTAATTGGCATGTATGCCTCTTTAAAAAAAGCAATGAAGTAGGACACGCAAGTCAATAGAAATATTAAAGTTTCATCATTTTAATCACAGATATTCTTTTGGGATAAAACTTCTAGCTTTAGCCAGGTGTGCATGTTGCTGTCATTTGCATTTTTGAATCATCTTGTGTAATTGTCACCATAAAAGTGTTACTCAGAAATGTCATAGGTTTTTCATCTTTGTGCAAAACATGAAATATTGTCACTGACTTTTTGTGTTGAGGTTCCCCCATTTTGCTGCCAACTTTGGCACGATTTTCGTTCAATACTTGGTCTTGGCTGCATTCTTTTTTTTCTGTGGGGTTTACAAAGAATAAACATTTTCTTGCAGATAAAAAAAAAATAATTTTTTTTGCCTTTTTAACTGACCTGATTTAGCCTGCTATAAAGAATACATTTTGTTTAGAGTGCTCTGTTATTTCAGGTAAGTCTTCTCTCTTGCAACAGAGCGTCACCTCTGTGAAACAGAAGGAAGAACAGATGTTTTTGCATTCGATGTATAAACTTAGCAAGTTACCCTGTCTGTGGGCTCTAAAGAAAA